TTGTGACAATATATGTACTCCTGATATTTAAAGCATTGATAATATAAGTCATCATAATGAAATTCCTATTTCTCTTTAATTGTTCACAGAAAGTTTAATAAGGTATTTTTCTAGAATATCCAGAAATAACATATTCCTTTTAGAACATTTTGTTATTAAATGTGTGTTGCTTAATATTCTACCTCACTAAAACTCTTATTTTTTTCTCTCAGATGAATTAATACTTAAAATGGATTTTTATTATTGTCATAAATTCACATTTATGTAGTTAAGATTAAAATTCCCTTGTTTAATGTGTTCAAATGATTTGTCTATCAATTATCACTTAAAACAACCTATCTATCATGCTGAACGTATTCCATTATTCTGAGTGATTCGGCTTATGAATCATACAACTATATAAAATCCTATGACACATGTACATATATGTCAAATTGAAACAGTTAAAAATATCTATCACTTCTTAAAATCATATGAATGATTTGTTTAGAAATAAACGAAACCAAACATAATCCAAACTACAAAATGTTTCGATCAACAGTAATTCGAATGTACAGTTTAGTATGATGTTACTAAAACTAGTATAACATTTATATAGACGGTATATATGTATATATACTTCAGATATCTCTATTTAACTTCATAGAATCTGTCATCTGCTTATAGTAAATATTCAGCTAGATTTTAACCAGTTATCTTGAACACGATACCGTGTATAATCTTAAAAGTTACGACAACACAGTTTTTGCTATAACTTTTGGGATGTGTGCTGTCTATGCTGACAGATATAAGTAATATGTAGAGCCAATCGAGAGTAGAGGGCTTAGCAACAGAAGATTCAAATGAAGAGGGCAGGAAGAAAATCAGAGAGCTATCTTAATCACAACAGAATTAAAGGAATAATCGAGTAGATAAAAGACAACGTAAACGATATATTTAATGTATGGTTTTAATATTTTACTAAGCTACTCTGTGATTTTTCATGAAACAAATTGGTTACTCCCACCTGAGTTCTCGTTCACTACACTATAACTAATATTACATCAAAGGTATTCAAGGAACGTATTGTACTACACTAAAGTTTTGCAACTAAGACCTTTAAAAGCTTTAAATGTAAAATACAAAAGTAGGCACTTTCAAAATGTTTACATTTTTAAAATAGTTTCAAAATCTAATAGTAGTTTAATTATAGAAATTAAATTTTCAGCTTCCGGCATCCTTTTCTCTCTATAATCGTTTTGAACAAAATTTCTCATTCAATAATTACTATTAATAAATATTCAATTATTTTTGTACAAACAAACATTAAGCTGGTTGCATGTGTTATTTGAATATTAAATTACTCGTCATTATATTAATGTTAAATTAACAAGATTCAATCAGTTGGATATTAAACGATAAGTAAATAACCAACTATGTATGGTGATATTCTATACAGAATTTTTCCCAACCTAATCATGATGTCCTAATTTATCTCTTTCAATCAAACATTAGAATAACACACAGTTAGGATAAAGATAAAAGTTATTCATTTAATAATATAAAGAACTAAATTCCTTTGAACAAGAAGGAACTTTTATGAATATTCGTCATGATGAGAACGGATAGTTTGACAGAAATTGTTAGCCGATTATATAGAAGTTTTGGTGGTCCTACATCTGACTTCAATTAGATCGCTCATATAAAAACAGTCACGATTGATAAGCGAATAATTCACAAGGTCAGAATGTGACTCAAGTAGAATGAATAGATTGGTTTGTCCGGAAGCTAGAATAAGGCATATGGGTTTAACATAGTAACTGACACTACAAAGTCATTATATGTGAAAATTATATTTGAAATAATTTCAGCACTTGAATTTTGTGTTTTACTTGATCACAGAAGATGTCTATGTGAATTAGAATTGTAGTTATAATGAGGATACTGTTCGAGATATCAAGTTAATAAAACATTCTTTATATAATCTAAATCGTTTGTTATGTAATAAAAAATAGTTGATAATTTCAACTACTTATTATAACATCTCATAATGAAACTATAATTCATTACTAAACGCAAACAATCATTGGAGATGTAATAGCTTTTTTCAACTAGACATTAAGGAACAATTTTCAGAAGGGGTTTTGTGGAGATTTTAGAAATTTCAATAATTGAAATCATTAGTCAATTGAAGCCAGACCACCGTGGAAAACCTGGAAGCACTGGACGGCCGTTTTGTCCTAGTATGGGACTCCGCAGCAGTGCGCATCCACGATCCCGCACCCCGCGAGATTCGAACCCAGGACCCATCAGTCTCGCGCGCGAGCACTTAACCATTAGACAACCGAGCAGGCATCCAACGGTGTTAATGTCTAGCTTCAACCACTCCATGAAATTGAGCGACACATCCACCATTGCCTTCAGTGAGCTGATATCTCAAAACAGACCTGGTTGAACTCTAGTGGTCACGGCTTTTCACTAAAACTCCAGGAGTGTCTCTTGAAGTCAGTCACTGGTGAACAGATGATTATTTTCAACGAGAATTTCAATGGATCCATAAATAAGTTGTAAATATCAAAAAATATTAAGATTCATAACTATTATTGAAGAAATAAAAACGTGTTTTACATTCCTATTCACATTTTATAAACAGAATGGATATTTTGCAAGGAAATTTTTAAAAAAACAGCCAAATTCGCAACGTAGTTCATTTATTTTACATAAAACAAAAACAAACAAATACTGATGTTTTTTCGGAACAAAAACTTTGTTTGTGCTACAATCCAGATGATTTTGATTCGACTAATTTTAAATGTGAAAACATTCATAAGAAATTTTTATAATCAAAACATTATCATGTGAATATTGTTCTTTTTCTTTTTTTGCAAATATTCTTAGATAAAAACGTAGAATGTATACAAATACATATAAGTATTTGACTAACGTAATAATATCAGAAGGAATTTTGTGGATATTATAGTAATTTCAATAGTTGAGCCCATGAGTCAATTGAAGCGCTCGCGTTGGATGCCGGTCATCTCGGTGGTCTAGAGGTTAAGCGCTCGAGAACGAGACTAACAGGTCCTGGTTTCGAATCTCGTGAGGCGTTATCACGGATGCGAACTTCTGAGGAGTCTCACAATAGGATGAAACAGCTTTCCAGTACTTCCAGGTTTTCCATAGTGGTCTAAATTCAATTGACTCATGATCTCAACTATCGAAGTTAAACTAATAATACTTAACGGGCGAGACTATAATTTATGGATGATCTTTCAATGAATCTCAGGTGACCTTGAGAAATATTAGTCAATCAGCAAACAGTCAGTATAGAGTAAAAATATATTATACAAAAACAAAGGATTAAAGTCGATACACTTCTTATACATGGTTCAAAAACTTGTCAAGGTTAGAAAGAGGTTCATAGGTTCTAAAATTGTAATGCATCCATTAGAGGAAATCATCTATATGGCTACAGAATAGTCGGCCTGTGAGCCATAATAAGGTCGCAAAAGCTCTCCCAGCCTCGAACACATAGCTTTAATATTGTTTGTGTGCACTCTGGTTGTTGAGTACGCATAATTCCACTTGTAGATAACGACACGATTCACACAACCAAACCTATGTGGAAGTCTGTACGCTCTACAACCATCCGTATATATTGTAGTACCTAGCTGCAGCCAGTGTTACTGGTGCTTTTGTTATCCAGTTCGAAATAATTGTCATAATTTGCCTTAGTCATGAATTATATATAGGTTTTTCATCACGAACTGACATCAGCTTTAATGCCAAAACTCTATATAGCCAAACGGATGACAGATTTTCGCGCCAAAATCCGAGATCTGTTATCTTATACCTGATTGGTTCGTCCACAATTTATGGTCTCGTACTGAAGTTGGCTCCGTGACCCTAAAATCATTCAAACACTTGTCTATAAATTGTAGTCTCGCCAATTTCTGAAACGTTTGTTTACAGTTTTGTTTTTAATGTTGAAAATAATCAGTTTAAAGTATGGTAATTTTCTTTTTTGCATTTACACATTTTATGCTGAAAATAAACTCAAATAAAATGGTTTCAATGTATTACAGGGAACTACATTTATCGAATTATTTATTTGATACAATATGTGTATTTACATCTTCCATTAAACTGTACTTTGATTTTTATTTTCTATAATATCTACTGCTTAGAAGAAAAAAAAACAGTGTTTTAATTTACTGTCTGAGATTATTCATTGATCTTAAATACTATCCACTGAATAGTTCATCATCATCAGTACTATTCATACGATAAGTAAGGGTTTATTGTTCGAGCATTTGAAACTTCAGGTTTTGATGATAAATATCTAATTGCCCAAACTAAACTAAATGGGTTGAGGTAGGATTTTGTCATTGAAAGTTAAACGATGAAATACAAATTCAAAGCTTCAATAAGCTTAGATAAAGTTGTTGATCGAATGAACAACGTGTATCTCTCGGTTGATTACTACTTTTAACATTACCATATAATGGAATTAAAACTTAATTACTTTTGATCACATCAAACAGCATGAATGGATAAACATACAGCTCAATAAATAGTAAAGATGTGTAACATGATATCAGATAGTTAGCAACATTAAATGGGTATTTTTTTCATAAATTAACCCTATAAAATCAAAATGTAAACATTAGAGTTATGAAATAACTGCGTTGAACCAAGGTGTTTTGAATGTGCTTCGATCCGGTAGAAAAAAGAAAATTCAGCTAACTGAAAACTGGACCTTTTGATTTCCATTTTATGAATGAAGTCAATCTGAGATGAAAACCATCAAGCGTAATTTGGGTTTATTTTAATAACTACAATTTTGTAATTTCTGCAAATAACTCAGTGCATTTGCTGTAAAAAATAATCGTAAATCATTTAAAAATTGACACATGTTACAGTACTCTTTAACTTCGATACCTTATAACTTCTTTATTACGTTTTAGTATAAATATATTCAGAAAATATTATTGGATCTGATGGACCCTCTGAAATGAAATATGACAACTCATACTCTAACAGCCAAGAACAGTTCCTCAGTTATTCCAGTGAAAACAGATCAAGAAAACATGTAAGCTTTCGAGTGATCCATTATTTTTTCTAACTGAAGAAAGAACCGTATATTTGTTTCTAACAGTTATGATGGATGTATGTTTAGGTATTAAAGTGCTCACTGAATCGGTCAAGAAACAGTTTGATAAAGAAAATTGAATTTTTCTTCAGCAATGCAGTTATAGTTTGAAAATTTCAACCGACAAAGAGATTTCTCAGATTAGGAGTTGTTTGCTAGTGAGTAGTATCACGAGTCAAAAATAAACTCAACACAAAGGTACTTTGAGGAAAAAGACTTAAAACATTTATTTCCAACTCCTTTAAATGAAGATTTTCCTTTTGATTTATAATAACAATGGAAGTATGCTATTTGGAATGAAGGTAATTAACATTAGGTAAATTTACATAGTGTTCTGTTTGTAACATAAAATCACTTATGAAATAACTTTAATAAAGGTTCCTCATCAATAATTATAGATAATTATTTATTCTGGTTTTGATTAAAATGCGTAATCCTTGTCTACTACAATATGTTACTAATTACCACAAAGTGCATGCCAATTAAATATTTCCACCGTGATCATGATACTGAGTGCATTAGGTATTTATTCGCATAACATAAACCTTAGCCAATTCCTATTACATTTTCAAAATCATTTTGTAAAACCGGAAAATCTGAAAATAATTCTGAGTAAACAATAAAAAGCAAAAGGAATTCTTATTGATCGTTCAAACTTGTTTTTAAATGTAAAACCATTTTTATCTCGATATTTAATTGAGCAAAAATGTACACTTTCATCAAAATACTTCGGAAAAAAAGGTCAATCATCTGATTATGGAAAATAATTTTACTGCCGCAGTTTATGAATTTGTGGGAAACGATTTTCGACTTACTGTTCGGTCAAATTCCAATCTGAAAGTTATTTGTTCACATGATTTCAGGAACGAGCTTCGGGGTTGAATGGTAACATTAAATTACAAAAGATTTAAAAGGCCTGAAATATGAAGACTTCCATGAATCTCATCAAAAGAGAAAACGTAGCCTATACAAACCTAGTAAGGTTTTTGACTGTGATAGAGATGATCTACCTAAAATCTAATAAAATTCAGCTCTCATAACTTTTGTTCATGTATTCGTTGATTAGATTACATTACAACTGGGATATTCACATATGCATACTCTTAATACACAATATTCCCAAAAATATAGCTGTTTGAAAACAGACAGTAATTTGTCTTGCGTTCCTGAAAGTGTATAAGTATTCGCATTATTTATCTGTTTATACCATAGAATGCTATTTACCTAGATCAAAATTCTCTTCATATTATAAAAAAAACCATTTTTCAGATATCGACTACTTATTTCAGCATAATTATTTTCGGGTTCACAACACAATAAAAACAATATATGAAACCTTTATTGAATTACCAGTATAGGGTTGTGGAGATTATTACGTTTCTTGATTCAGATTATGAATTGATTAATGTTAGACAACCAATGAAGACCTGGAAGGTTAGACATAAACGTCGTTTAATGACGGCTCAGTGGTCTAGACGTTAAGCGCTCGCACACAAGACCGAAGGTCGTAGGTTCGAATCGCGTGAGTGGGATCGTGGATGCGCACTATCCCGTACTAGGACAAAACGGCTGTCCAGTGCTTCAAGGTTTGCAATGGTGGTCTAACATCAATCGATCTTAATGACCTCAATCAAAAACTTTATTGAATTATTATTCTTACAGTTATTACGTAATACCATATTTGATCGAATAATTCTACTTCACAAAGCATATAATAATCCTTTGTATCAAACATCGTGCTAATCATTTAAAATAATGTGTGATGCAAACTTTTGACATATATCAATTAGATCACGTCTTAATATAATATAAGACTGGTTAGCTTCTAGATAACAATGACTTACTACACATATATATAATCTTCCATTGTATCATTATAACTTCCACTTTTAAATGTAACTCAAAAGAAGATCTATGCCAAAGTTAATATTCTAAATTCCTAACAATTTATTTATATTTAAATAATCATTTATCTAATTTAGTCATTTTTATATTTTTCTATATTTTACATCTTTTTTTTAAAAAGCATATCATTATTATTACATTAACAAATGACATTCAATGTGTTTCTATGATGATAGACATATTGAATATTGAATAGTTTATGAATTATGTTTTGTTTTTCATATATAGAAATGTATCAATTCGTATCTCTATCCTGTAAAATGAAACAAAAAATCAACTACATTATTTATAAACTTTTTATTTTGTATATTATCTCATTAAATTCATTTTAAATATTCGTTTTTATCACTGGTGTCTATGACGTCGTTACATGTAGCATACAGAAAATGTTACATAGAGAAACATGTTTATAAACAAAATTTTATATGGATCAAGTGATAACTAATTATGTTTCATGTGACTGTTATTTTGTTACTAACACTGTTACCAGTATTCAAGGTATACATTATATATGATGTGCATTACCCTCATTACTCTGGGTTTTTTTTTAGTCATTTATTAGGAATCGAATTTATTTCAATGAAACGAAGATAATAAGAGTAATTATAATAACAGTATATCTGTTCATTTTACGATTTACACGTTAGTCAATTTAATACACTGTCAGTATTTCTAATGAAATAAACTTTTACCAAAATAAAAACAAGGATGTAGTACAACTAATTCTGTCCTAGACTCTGCTTAGATATAATGTAAACAAATGTATTGTCTAAAAATCAATTGTCTTGATGTTTTGCTCATTGTCTATCACATGTCATTCTATAACATACCACAACCTGTTGTGAATTCTTAATATTTATTTATTGTGTAATGAACGAGAACGTAACTGGTCACAACTGAATGCATTTGAACACAAAATTACAGAATCTGAGAACCATACAATAAATACTTCATTTGCAAAATATCAATCAATTGTCTAAAACTTCATTGTTCTTTCGTTTCCACACCAATCATTCTATGTTCTCGTTCTCTCTTCTTCAATCTTCTTAACCTTCTGCCACCAGGCATTCCACTTTTGGTTAGTGATACATACTACTTATATCTGTGGACATCAATAGCACATAACACAATTGTACTTACGTGTTTGTATATTAAAGTCAAGTGATCATCAAAGTTTCAATTAGCATTATTTCTGAAATAATGGTCGAAAAATAAATCATATGATACATTATTTCTTAGTCACGTATCTAACTACACATGATGATCGAAGTCATTGACGATCAGTAGTTGATATTATTAAACTTTCGAGGATTAAATCTGTAATTTTAATTGTGAGTTGAAACTACTGCATCTTCTCTTGTTTTTTTTAAAATGTAATACGGAATAAGAATAGTTGAATAATACTGAACTGACCATTGACCTTAAAACTGAATAATATTCTTATTATAATCAGGAGAGATTACCGTAATCTGTTCAATATCCAGTAATATATATTATCAAACATAATCAACTCTTAGTAAAAGAAAATTTTGTAATATTAGGTGGTCGTTGGTAATTGACAGAAGGCTATAGATCTTGATTTTATGCTGTTTGACACTGATCAACAAGGGGTACATGGGATCTTGAGAGACCTTAAATCTCCCAGATGGGTTTTAACTTCAGATTCTGAGACTTTACAATTGTGTAATTCTTACTGCTAATGAGCTCATGTGGGAGTGAGAAATCTATGTAGAACACGCAATCTCAAGTCACCTGGACTAGTAACAACATTGGAGCTTTAATTGATAGAACTCGATCAGCATTAAACAACTAGACAAATATTAAATCAATCATTATTGTGTGATTAATCAATAGTAAAAAGAAGCGTATTCCCATTTATATCACTTTTCTTCACTATTTAACCAACTTTGAAATGTATAATTTTTTGTTAAGTTTTACTATTTATTTCAATTCTACAAAAAGACAAACGTTATATAGTATTATGATCTTTTATTCAGATTCATTTACTTCGAAATAATTAATTTTAAAATATAATACATAATAAATTACAATTAACTGTCGAACATACATGAGAGTTTAATACTTGAACTGATTAGTCGATTTAAGCAAGACCATCACTGAAAACCTAGCAGTACTGGAAAGCCGTTTTGTCCTAGTATAGGACTCCTCAACAGTGCACATCCATGATCCCGTACTCGGGACTCGAAGCCAGGACTTTCCGTCTCGCGAGCGTATAAATTACGTAAAAGTACACAAAAATCTTAATCTAAAATAGTTTGATTTACTAGTCTTATTTAATGAGTTTCAGACACAAACTTTCTATAAATAATTCTCAGGCGGAGCGTTTTGTTGTGACATCCTCTTTGGCATTCATATTCAAGTATTCACAGTGATAAGTTTGTATAGTGGTTGAAAATTATACATACGTCTGACTAACATCAATCAACTGATGAAATTTGGTTAACAAATCATTTTTAGTTGAATTTAAGGAAGCTTATTCTTTTTCATAGAACAATACCAGTTAGGAACCTTTGAATAAATTCGTTGATCATAATGGTTACTCAGTATAATTATTCATGGTTTCAGTTATTTGATCTGTTTAGAACCGTATTTATTAAACTGTCTTAATTATTTCATGTGATTATTTTAATGTTTAATGTTTAAAAGGTTTATTAACTGAATACTATCAGGTTGTGTAAGGTTCTGTTAACGAAATTTTAAAAATTCATTAGTTTCAAAGCCGACTGTACATGATACAGTTTTACACAATAAGTAAATAAATAAATACTCCCATCTTAAAATATATTGGACTATTCTGTGTAATATCAATTAACACTTATGAACAAATTGAAAAAAGCACTTATATATTCACAAAAATTGACGCTGATTCACTCTGATTGCAAGTTTGTGAGCTAAATGCCTTTATCCTACTGATATTTTAACAGTGAAAATTAACATCGGACAACTACTTTATCGTACCAAGAAGTGATATACCTTTTAATACAGAGCTATTAAACTATAATGTGTAGTCATTT